AGTCAGATCGTGGCTACGTGCTCTTGAAGATTTGTGGGACATGTCTATTGTGAGATTCTCCCGTTTGAGACAACTGCCATCTTGTCTTGTGCTGGAGAATTCATCGCCACCTTCAAAAGAAGTACGCAGCCACATCGTCCTTTTTTCCTATGAGAGTGCACAGGTGAATCGCTGAGCTACCAGCGTTGCCGTGGTGTAAGCTTGGGTGGCCGGGAACGCCTTCAACCCAAATCGGTTCAGGTAACGAGCAACGCTTTGAGCAAATGCGTCCTTCCCCTGGGAGGCGCAACAGTGGTCAACGTAAGCTAAACAGTGTAAGCTTGTGTACAGTAAAGGCAGCTATCCTCTAGACAAAGGCATTCCACGGATTACTTGGTCACAGGGGGCACCACCGATGCATGTTCACTCCGCCCACTTATGCCGATTCAGTTTAGTAATGAGAGCGAATGCTGTCGAGCGGGATAGGAAATGAGGCACTCGGAATAGGAAAATGGTGTGAGGGAGAGGTAAGGAGTTGTCAGAACCTTATGTCAAGATGTGTAACGAATATATTTATGCGGATACATGAGGATAGTTAAAACAGTAAACCCCATCGAACCCTAGTGTGCTGCCTTTGATTTCTGTCATATCAACCAGGGCAAGTCCTGCCGCTGGAAAGGGTTTTCGGAAAAAACGACCCTCTTTTCCTGATTCCCTCTGATACGGCCACTTCCTTCCCCATCCTACCTACCATTTTCGAGGACTTTCTCTTTTCTCAACTTTCTTTCCAACTTTTCCGGAACTTCCCGAAAATTTTCTGGTTTTCCCCCAGAATTTTCTTGTCGAAGGGGAAGTGCAAATATGACAATCCTCCCCCAGCTACCGAATGCAACCCCCGCTGAGGATTTCCCAACGTACGACGTGGTCTGGTGACGATTTAACCCATTGCAAGCCGTCAATTCTCTGTAAATTCCTAGACATTGGTCCAAACACCCGACAATATCAGTGGAGGGACATGCTCATGGTAGATAAAAATACAGAGGCTTTCCACCCTTTCCTGTAACCCTTTCTTAGAATGGTGACCAATCCGAGTAATTCAATAAATGCGTGAGTAGATCTCTGGTGAAGTTAGTTGCACAGTCTTCGCGAATCGGGAGCTTATCGTGAAATGTGACTTTGCCTGAAGTCGACGATAAGCTGGGAGGTAGAATCAAGTGCACCAACCTTGCACCTTAACTTAAATTGGGAATGGAGACTTGTACTTGAGAGGAATTTTTTTTGATTGAGATAGCGTGTCCTGCATGCAATACCTCTATAGGTGGGAAAACAACCTTAGCGCATTTACCTTTTTGCTATTGAAAAAGCGTAATGATGGCGCTAGAGCGTTGCGGCCTAACTTTACCCACCCAACCTATGTTATCGCCCTGAAACGAATGCTAATACGGGTGCGCTGAAGGCTTCCGCCTCGCTTATTTCAGTGCTCTCTCGGCCCTAGGTCCTGTAGTCTTTCGTAGTAGATCCTTAGTTTCCCTTAGCCGTATTTCTCTCACCCAAAGGATTTTGCGGCTTTTTCTATTCCTTCTTCCTCACCATGGATAAAAACCACTACAGCTCAGCTGCGCTTCGAAGCCAGTGATAGACACACCGCATCGCGCAATGTTATTTCGAGGGACTACAAGGATAGGCCTTTTAAGCTGGCTTCAAGGTACTTACTGTATAGTGACAGGCACTCCGCGACTAATTGCTGTTTAGCTCCCTTGAATTTGCGAGGCGGCCATCTTCGCTGTAGCAGAGCACGTACTGCATTTAAGGCTGGAAACTTCTCAGGAAGCGCAATACAAGTTCAAGCACTGGCATCCCACAGGCTCAGGTCGGCCCTAGGTGCCCGTGTCAGTGCGATGGCATTCTCTCGTAATTCGTCATTTTTTTTTCTTTCCCCACACTTCCCGGGGGCCTTAGTTTCTTATGTTGTCTGCTTGCTATTTCGCTAGTAAATGACGGCAATTTTGTTTTCGTACGCCCGAGCCTGTAACTTACAACTGCAGAATGTTCCTTTGATATAATGTGACAGAACGGGAACCGAATGGAAGCTCAAGCTTCGATGCCGTGGAATGGAGATTTGCGGGTAAAGAGCTACAGCTACCCGTGTAATGTTGTTTTAGAAAAATGAGTGCTTTTCTAGCCTAGGCTGGAATGCACTACGCTACTGCCGATGTCCGAGCCATTGGTGTGAAATCATGTAGAAATGTAATTGCCCTTGTATGAGTAAGTCCTAATCTCGAACGCATACATTGAAACCGCTTATCAGGAGAGTCTTGAAGATGTTTCTGCTATCAGTGTGCTGTCGTCGTGGCATTTTGATGAGAAGTCCCGTTGCAAACTGATAAATCGCCTAGATTGCCGTTAGAGTGTCGCACAATTCACATCAGAGTTTGAAATAGGGAACAGAACAAAGGGCAACGCATTTCATCGCCTTTTGGATGAGAGGGAATAGAGCAAAGGGCAAGGCATTACTTCTCCTTTTGGATGAGAGTGAGCAGAGCAATGGGCAAGGAGTTCCTTCGCCTTTTACAAGAGCCGCGACGATGTGATTCATATTACACGTGAAGACTGGTGCGGACGGTGGTACTAGACGGACTGAGCTCACCTTCGGCTACCTAGCCTTTCGAGTGGTGATGGTTAACATATTGACGACAGCGTAGTACGCATTTGATGCGCGCTTTGTGGGCCACGTGGGACCGCGCGAATTGTATACGAATCACGATCAACAAATCCATATCTTTCACTAGTGCATGATTTTTTTGTTTAGTTTCTCCTATTCATTCTATAGGCCAGTCCTTAGTATACTCGTACAACACGTGGTCCATGGAATAATTAGTACACACTAGTTTAGCAAAGATTTCCTGTGGAAAGAGCACTATAAGCTTGAATTGGTTTGCTCCTCAACTTTGGATTGGTTTGCTGTTTAACTCTTTGCCAACAAATACAGACAATTACAACATTGATAATGATGAAAAAATATAAGGTGAAGGATTCTGAATCCTATAGAAAGCACGATTTGCGTTTTTTATGAAAAAAATTGGTTACAGACAAATTCCTGGCCCTGGTGCAAAGAGAGTTGGCCAGCCCAGATTTTTCCATAGTAAATAATTGACTTACTTCACAATTGCTCTCTAAACCAGGTTTTTCGATCCAATCTCCAAAAAAGCGCTTCGTGGGACGGCTTGAATTGTATGCGTACCGCGCTTGTGGCGTTCAAGAAAGCGCGCGTGTCCCACCGAAAAGTAAAAATCCGTGTTGTCGTCAACATGTCAAAGGACGCCATAAGATGAGAGTGACTTGAGAAGAAAACGAACCCTATTGAAAACGCCGCGGGTGAGCTCATTCAGTTCTTGTCGGGACCGCCCCGTCTGGTTGCGATGTTACTATCTGTTCTTGGTCACATTTGCAACAAAATAAGTCTCCGGAGGAGGGCAGAAGGGTCCAAAAAGTCTGTCTGAGAGGAAAAGAAGTTATCACTGCTCGAGCAAGTGAACGACTACAGATCCCCCACATAAAGTCACGTTCCGCTATCGGTCTCTCCGCGATTCTGCCCAGGGCACATCGTTGTTGGGGAATCCCAAAATGGGGGGGGGTCGTATTTGGCCGCCACGAGGTGGGGATCGTTTTAATAGTTGATTTTTCTCGCTTCACGGACGCTGTGAAAGGGGGGGGGGGTCGTACGGACTCGACTAAAATCCCCAAGCAGTGAGGTACCCTGATACTGCCTCCGCATGTGTTGCTAATTGTCGTCTTGCTGATTGCTTGGTCTCTCACTGCGCTTGCCTAGTCTCTCACCTGAAATGAGCGTCAGTTCTCTGCCTTGTGCTCGAAATGAGAAGGGCCTTTGTTGGGGTGTCTTCTACTTTCCTTTACTTTTTTTTCGTTCACGCTCGAGCAACTAGTGCATGCACTTCTCGGCTTAATGCGAAATTTGCATTTAAATTTGGCGTTTATCTGCATTTGAGCTCCATTTGAACATGTCAAGAACTTTTGAGATTTGAGAACCATCAGAAGGCCCAATATTTCCTCTTTTAACAAGCTCTACAGTTCTATCAAAGACCCGCTAGTCTACAAGAGATTTTAGATGGTTTATCCTTGCGCGAGGTTCTTAACCGCCCAAAAGCTTGACTTTTCCTGTGCTATTGTAAGGATACTCATTCAAAAACTTCAATATGCCCTCGAAAGAACATTTTCGCTGGATTGAGTTAAAGCATTTGGTTATCATCAATCGATTTGGTCCGAGTGTGCGCCGTGCATTACGCTCCTACGCAGAGGTGGTGGAAAGGTGTAACTTCTAATTTAGGTGGTTTTTGATCTTGCGAACAGATGTTTGTCCAGGGTTGGGTTTGGAAAGGTTGATAACGCACGAATGTGTTCGAGATCTATTACTTAGTCATCTGTACTTACAAGTTTGTGCTAACTATCGAAATTGCTAGTCAATTCATTTGATATTTTGTAGTCTTTCTTACATTTGAGCGATGACTTTTTGTGCTGTTTGGTGCTCAGCGACCCTGCGTTAACGATCCCCCCCCCCTTTTTCCCAGCGGTCAAGTACAGCTCTTCCCCCGTGGATCTCACACATCTATGCTGCACCCTGAGCGGGAATCATTGACAGGAAACGGCTGATACGGATGCAGTGGTATTCGTCGCTCGCCGAAAGAAAAAAGAGAACGACGGGCTGATTCTATGCCAAACCCTCACCGCATTGCCTCCAGCTACCAGTTCTGTAGTTACCTTTGCTAGTTCTTTCTTATTTCAGTGAACTTGATAAATGTACCACAACCGCAACAAATCGCTTCTGGCAATGCCTACTATGAAGGGTATAGAAGCGCTGTTGATCTATTCAAGTACGTAATTAATTGTTTTCAAATACTTCATTTATTTTGACAACTGAATGTGTTTCCAGGTCGTCGCTTGATGCAACTGTGAATCCATGTGAGGATTTCTACAAGTACACGTGTGGCCATAGCAATGGAGTTATGAGTTTTGACACATCGGATGCTGAAAATACCGACAATATGGTAGCGCAGCTGAAGAACTTGACCTATGTGAATGCCGGGGTTCGTTTGTTGAGTTTCGTTGTGCAGTTCTCACCATAAGCTTGGAGAAAACACTCCTGCTTAGCTTCTCACCTTCTATCTTATTTATGAAAAGTGAGAGTTGGTCTAGTCCGTTGTTACTATAAGAGGGAAAGGAGAACGTCCAGAGCATCCTCAATGAACACTTCTTCTAGATTTATTTCGAAAATTATGCAATTATGAGGTGAGGAAACACGGGACGCTTGCAGTAAAGGTCAGACGACTGAGGATGATAGAGTACCTGAATAAACGAGACCGGTGCCTCCTTACGGCACTTACAAAAAGCTTGTTTCGCTGAGAAGACGCTACTACCCCTATCGATGGCTCACGAGCCTTACGGCGTTCTTGACAAGCATGACAGTACAACGTCTGTGGAGGCTGGTCCTTTCACCTCATTAACGAAAAACATCTCAGGTTTCAGTCAGCTTCGTCGTCGACTTTGAGTTTGATCTCGCCCATTCATCCCCATATGTCAGGGAAGTCTTAGAATTGGCCACAATGACCCACGTATACCAGGCATACACTATAGCACTACTCTAGAACCTCTGGGACTTTGCTTTATTCACTGGAGGGATACAGCTATAGAAAGAGCTGTAGCCGGAAAGCAATCCCCCGATTTTGCCCTCCGAACAGGCACGAAAAATTTCCAAGACTTGTACGACTAGTACGCCTAACATTACTGAATTCAGCGCCTTTGAGCAAGCGTTGCGCTGCGCCTTTTCCAGCAAAGGAGCTTATAGCGCCCTATTAAGTTGCATACCGACCCGGACGCCCACCGCGCCCGCTCGCCCACAATTGTCCGACCGACTGATACTCGTATCGCTTCATTCAGGAAATAAAATATGCAGCAAAGGGATTGATATGGCTGCGGTGCTGCATGGATATAGCACATACATGCAGTACCTATAGTGTAGTTCGCTGCGGACGGTGGGGCGTGCCCGTGCGGCTGCGCTTGGCGCGGTGCCAAACTCGTTCTACATCACTTGTTGAGGCGGCCATGTGACAATACTGTATCACATTTCTCGTATTACTAGTCTTCTACCACTTTTTGTCGCAAACGCTTTTTAACAGGAATGCAGACAACGGGCTTGATAGGGTGACGCACACATACTGGCTGACACGCCGAACCGTTCGCAGAGAACTACAGGTACCGTAGCGGTTATTGGCAAGATGCCAGCGAGGAACTCGTTCGAAACTGCTTTCTGAGCCGTGTAGAACGCTAGGGTTTATTGCAAGTTTTTTGATCGTTTCACTTCGGTTTTTCGCCATTTCCCATTATTTATCACCCCTGTTACCATGTTAGACAGAGTACCAAATTATCGTGCCAACGTTAAGTCTCGCTTCTGAACTTTTACCGCCTTTTATTCGTTTTGTCCGATTATCAGTGTTTCAGCCTGATCCAGTGAAGCAGGTGGCGTATTATTTCAAACAGTGTGTGGCTGCCAGTATGAATTGGACTAATGTGGTCAAAAGTGGAAGTATGGTAAAGTCTGCGATCGATAAGATGGCAGCAGGTGGGAATGATGTGACTTCTGCCTGACTTCCAATCAGATGATCTTGAGTACAGTGGGGTCCGCTGCTGACGATGGGGCGTGTCAGACGGGATGAGTTTGGCGCGTAAAGCGAACAAGTGTCAGGACTTCACCATGTCGTTCGTGTCACTCGTTTCCCAACAACTGCCGTCGCGTAGCTGCTTCAACAGCTGGCAGAGAACGTTTTTCTCCGTGGCACACTCATACTGCCTGACACTCCCACCTTCCGCATCGAACTACACTATACCTTGAGGTCGCACTGAAGAAGGTTCACGAATAGGAACAAAAAGCTGTGGTTTTCTTGAATTTCAGGAGAGTCTAAGTACGAGAACGAGACACAGTTTCCGTTTTACATGTTCGACCAGAAGGCAAGCGTGAAACCGTTCCCTGACAGAGTCGGATTGGGTTACCTTCTAGGTAAAGTGTTCAGTTGTGTCTCAAGGTTGTGCTTTAATGTTGGGGAATATTACAGTTCACAAGTTTGGTATGTCTGACTAGGACTACTGTATACAATATTGTAAACTTCTATTCTCTAGGCTACCCAGCAGGAGAGAATGGAGCACCAAATTTGGTGTCACCGTTTGTGGATACTAATTGGAAAGATCCTCATGGAACGGACGGCTATGCATTCTACATCGATCAACCATCGACACTGTTACCGTACACATATCACGTGAAAGCATGGAACACATATCAGACAATGCACGTTTTTCTTCTTTGAATTCATAGCGCCCATTAGTTGGAGGTTTGTGTGGCGAGCATGGTTGGAAACGTTGAAAAACGCTTGGATATAAAAAATTAGGGAAAGTGTTTCACTACTGAACAGCCCACAAAGGCGCCTTTCGCGCTGATCTAGGTGGAACCACTTGGTCTGCATTGTTTTCCTCGTTGGAGCCCCCTTCTCCTCCCCACCACGGAAGGGAAAGCTCCCCAGGAGAGAGACGCACGAGTCCAAGTGATATCACGCACGCGATAGTAACAGTGCTATGCACGCCTTGTAAAGAACGCTGGGACTCGAATTCAGCGCTGGCGAATGTAAGGGGTTGCCAAAATACAGCTAATCATAATCAACAGAAAGCGCGCGACTTAATTTTGTCCAAGTTTTTTTTTTCTGCGACTGTGGTTTGGACCTGGAAGTTCGAGGTAAACAGATTCTTGCTTTATTTGACTCCCTTGCTTTTGCCTGGAAAATGGTAAACTATCTAGCACGCCTCCAATGGAGATCATCAGCTCGAATGTGTTCTCTTAACACAGTGATTCTTTCTTCACTTCGCCATTACTTACCCTAAGCTTGAACCAAGGGGTAGCTCGTTTATCATGAAGAAAGGAATAGAAATAGTCAAAGAGCGAATGGGTCACTTCGACGGGGACGGGCAAGAGAATCGTAATTTGCCGCTCCGCCGCGCGCGGCGATGGGCGCGGCGTTTTCTTAACTCGTGTTAACCTGTCGATTGGAGCACCGGACTTCATGTAGACCCGTCATCGTAGACATTCATGACTATTTTCGGTTCTGAATTGTTTGTTGTCGCTATGTACTACCTGAACAGGAAACATCATTGGTTGAGGGTTTTAGTCGAGTCCGTACGACCCCCCCTTTTTTGGGGCTTGGTACGACCCCTCCCCCTCCGGCCCTCTGTCCCTCCTCATCGAATCGAGCCGTCGAGCGGAGGGGGGGGGAAGGTAAATAGCACATGTGAAACAGGAAAAGCCGCCCTTCTACTCAGACTTTCCTCAACTTTCTACCACTTCTTCCAAAATTTCCCGAAAACTTCCCTACTTTTTCCCAAAAATTTTGCTGTCGAGCGGGGGGGATATATAGTACGCATGAAACAGGAAAATCACGAAAAGTCAACCACCACTCCCACCACTCCTAGAAAGGCCAGAAAGTAAATACGACCCACCCCCTTCCCAAAAATGAGCAAGTACGCTGAGAAAAATTTCTTTTGATAGCTGATTTTTCTCGATTCACGGACGTTGTGAAAGGGGCGGGACGTAACCCCTTTCACAACGTCCGTGAAGCGAGAAAAATCAACTATCAAAATAAATTTTTCTCAGCCCAAATACGACCCCCTCTCCTGGCGGCCAAATACGACCCCCCTGTTGGGGATTCCCCAACAACGATGTGCCCTGTACTTGGAACATCGTCATTTGCAGGAGCGACGTCGCATGCGAAGCCCACCAACGCGGTGAATTACGATTCCCTTGTCACATACCCCTCTTGGACTCTTCTCACCTCATCTTCTACCGCTGGTCAACAGAACAACTTTCAAACTGAAGTAAATACGTATTCAGAATGTATAACGACATAATTAATAACATGAACGCATACGCCACTTCACAAGGAGTCAAACTCGACCAGGCAACACTGAGAGCTGACGCCTCGAGCATCGTTAACCTCGACCATCTTCTCGCAATAACTTACAGGTCTGTCCGTACATACATAGAGCCCGTGAGCCCAGAATACGAGCCATTTTCAGTACCGACGATACGACACGTAGACAGTCTGATCGTAGTTATAATCCAATGACTATCAGCCAACTCACACAGACCTATCCCAAAATCAGTTGGCATACGTTTATTCCAGAAGTATGTTGTTGTTGTGGTTTTCCACAATCGGCCCCATGAACTGAAATGATGGCTGATTTCAGGCTGTTGGCCCGGCTCAGCATGTACTGCAAAAACTACTCATGGACCCCACATACAAGTTTATTGTGATGGAGCCTGCTAAGCTACAGGCACTCCACGACGTGCTTGGCAATGAAACTAGTAAGCGATGATTTTCAGTGCTTGAAATAAGAGGAAGTTTCAAGTGTGAATTTACAGTCATTTCTGCTCGCACTCTCGTCAACTATGCATACTATCACCTAGTGGACGGTCTTGCCAGTTTTCTACCTCAAACTTTTACGGTAAAGGTTTGAATATTTGCGAGATGTCTTCAGAAAGGCTGGAGAAACTGTGTTCGAGCCCGATATCAGAAGACTGGTTCGGAGAATAACAGTCTGGGCTGGTCCCATGGGCGGTGTCGGGCCTCTTCTTCGTTGCTCGTTTACTTTTGGCAGACTGCTCTCCATTTCCTGCATTGCAGTGGTCGACTTGATAATGAAAAGAGCACAACGTTAGGCCTTATCCCGTTCATACGATCAACCCAGACTATCAGACTGCCTTGGGTCACTTCTCAAAAATACGAGGAACCTGATTATCGCTTCCGCATCAAATCTCTATGCAAGTACAATATATACCATTTCACTTTAAATTCACCACTTTTCAAGCCAAATTCACCACTTTTCAAAGCAAATTCACCACTTTTCAACCAAATTCACCACTCTTTTTAGACCGGGCAGTTCACCCACCAGATCACGCCAGACACCACTGCGAACCCTGCCTCGACGGTCACGCCTACTTGTCAGCGCGGACATAGATTTTCAACACATGGCCGACTCCGCCCAGTTCTTTAAGGGTTTGTTGCGAACTTCAAAATTCTTTATTGCGAAGTTCAAAATTTCATAACTTTACAACTTTTTAATTTCACATCCACTCTTTGCGCAACGAAGATACTAACCGCGCATTCATGCTCCGGCAATTCAGGCTCCGCCCCCTTGGCCACGCCCACTTGCTTTTTGCGGAAATTTGATATTTTTTCAAAACAAATTAATCAGGTAAGGTTTGTTCCGAGTGACGGACGAGGTCCTAGCATGCAAGCCAGGGCTTTAAGCTGCCGATCTGCACCATTTTCGAAAAGTGGG